TCGCCCCCGCGTCGGCCGCATGCGTCCTGCTCTGCAGGCCGGCCTCGGAGGCCCTGGACCCCAGGAGAACACACACCTCTCGGAGACAGAAAGGGTACAGGTGAAGATTCTGCCCCTCTGGCCGCAAGCCCGTCTCCCCTCCCGGGCTTGAGATGCCATGGGGTGCCGAGTTCAGGAACCCGCGCTCTGGTCCTCACTTATTCAGTCAGCCAGTAGCCATTGGTTGAGCCCAGTGCTGCTGGGACCACGTGAGCCAACGAAACAAGTCCCTGCCGTGACACAGCTGCTGTTTTAGTAGGGGCGACAGGTAACACACATGTGCGCGCGCGTGCGTGTCGGCCTTCGAGGTGGCCAAGGAAGCCAGTCAGGCCCTGAGGAGGGCCGAGCAGCACAGAGTGGGCAGGAAGGGGGACAGCCCTGCGGTCACGGTCTCGGGGCCTCGTCGGTCCCTGTGGGCATGTGGGCCGTGCCTCAGTGAGACAGCAGAGGAGTGTCAGCCTCGGGGAAGGGTGTGTGTGCGGGGAAGGGTGTGTGTGCGGAGAAGGGGCTTTGGGGCAAGGGCGAAACGAGGAGAGGCGAGGGAGGTTGCTGCAGTCCCCAGCGGGAGGGGAAGGTGGCGTGGAGTAGGGTGCTGGTAGGGGAGAGGGTGGAAGAGGGCAGGTTCCGGATCCATTTTTGAGGTGGAGCCGACAGGAGTTGCTGATGGGTCAGGTGGTGTGAGAAAAAGGAGCATCAGGAAGGCTTCCAGCCTCCGCAGTGGGAAGAAGGGAGCCGCCTGCCCTCTGGCAGAGGAACCGCGGCGGGGATGGCGCTGGGCGTGGACGCCGGGAGCCCAGTGTCGCATGTGCTGTGCTGAGTTCCAGGAGCCTGGAGCCTGTTAGGCCTCCAAGCAGAAATGTCAACTACACAGTCCGGTGTGTGGACAGGGAGTTCAGGGAGGAGGCGGGGGGGAGCCATCACTTTGAGAGTCGTTGCCGGCCGTGGATGGTGTTCAAAGCTGGGAGACTGGGTGCGCATGGACAGGAAGAGGCAGAAGACCGAGCCTGCTGGGGGTCCCAACAGAGGACAGGAGGCCAGCCACAAGCAGGGGACCCGAGAGGGGTCTCAGGAGCTCAGCCCTACGTGGGGACAAGGACGAGCTAGACACGCGACATGGAGGATCAGCTGTTCTGAAGTGGGGAGACAGCATCATATGTGAGCGCGCTCAAGGGCAGGACCTCACGGGGACGGTCACTCCTCTGCTAGTCCCTGGTGATCGCATCCTGTTTGGTGACGCACTCGCCGTAGGGAGAGAGGACACACTGATGGAAAGAGCATGAGCTTTGCCCCCGGGCTGAGCTGGGTGAAGCTCACTTCCATCCTTGGAGTCGTGTGAGGCCAGAGTGCGTGTCCCCCGCAGTAACATGGGGTTGTGGTCCTTACCGCCCAGGATGCCTGACCGCAGTAACGAGGGAATGCTCGGAAAGCACCTGGTGCAACACTTAGCACGTAGCAGATACTCCACAGAACAGGAAACTACATCAGTCTGATTCTGGTCCTCCAGAGGCTTCCACACCAAGGCAGATGCCCTTTACAATTTCAGTGTATGCTAACCACACAGAGCCAGCCAACTGTCTCAGTTTAACCCATGAAGGGCCAAAGGTTTTCAGTGTCTGGGCCTGGGATAAATACATGTCATGGGGGCGGGCTAGTGGTCCAGGCAAATGGCAGGGCTCCCAGCAGGGGTGCCAAGGACAGCCTGTGCTCAGGGTTGTTTGGGGAGGAGGGGGCACCCCCCGCAGCCACACATGTTGCAGAGATCCCACCCCACCCCCACCCTGGGTGAAGTGTGGGACCCAAAAATGAGGCTGGTAGTAGGGCCTGGAGGTGCTTACATTTCCCTGGGAAGGAAGCAAACCACACGCCAAATGCTATGAGTGGAAAAAGGCGCAGAGCTTTACGGAATGGCAGCTCTGGGCGCTTGGCCCCGCCTGGACACCACACTGCCGCCCAGCTGTGGTGCCTGAGACAAGTCCTCTCCATTCCCAGCCTGTGGTTCCAGAGGAACAGAGGGAGTCTGAGTTGCAGGGGGAGTAAGACCAGCACCACCTCCTGAGCCCCCAACATTTCAGGTGGTGGCTGCCGAGTGTGCTGGATGGCAACCAACTGAATCAGACCCTCCCGACGGGCGGTGGGAGGGGGCCAGGGAAACAGCTCCAGTAATCCACCCGGAGGGAGGCAACGACGTGGACTCCCCAAACCAGTCGATGATCAGTGTGCGTCTGCTGAGCCTGGCTCTCTGCCAGGCACTGCTGGGCAGGAAGGGGCTGTGGGACTCCAAGTCACAGGCAGAGCGCCCACACCCAGGCCGAGAGGGCCCAGGGGGGTCTCGCCCAGGAGGGAGTCTTTGGCGAAGAGCTTTCCTTAGCCAGCCCCATTTCTTCAGGCAGAGTATGCTTTCCAAAAGCGCTTCCACCCATTATTTGATCCCTGTATCTCTCTCATGAACCCGACAAGGCCAGTGCCTTTATCCCTATTTTATCTCAGAGAGGCTAAGGGACTTGCCCAATGTCACACAGCCTTTTGGTGGCAAAGGTAAAGCTAGAAGCCTAAGCTTCTGGTCACATACGTGAAGGCACTTGTTAGGAAGTGTGGCACCCCAGGGCGGTTTCTAGTTAGCTCCAAACGGAGGCTGGGCTGGGACCCTGAGCGGTCCTGCTCTCCCCGCATGCCTGGGAGTCACTGGACTGCAGGGGACCGCAGGGGGAGTAGGAAATGCCCCCCAGGAGCGCCATCTGAATTCCAAACAGCTTTGGAACCTTGGTGAGGGAAGGCCCTTAGGGTAGGAGAGGATATTCTGACAGCCTGGAAACCTCAAATAGCAAAGAGGAGGGTTGCCCAGAAGAGCTTCAGAGGGGACGTGAGCCTCAGTCTGGACCACAAAGTAGCTCTGGAGCCCAGTGCGAGGGAGGGATGCCCTGGACGGAGGGGTGTGCAGGCATCCCCACGTCTCTTAAGGCCTCACGCCCCCAGACTTCACTTCTGGGGGCAGCTGTGTGACCTTAAGTGTCTCACTTCCCCTCTTTGGTTCTCAGTCCCCTCATTCATCATGGTCCTCCTCAGAAATCAGGGTGTGGGATGAACGTGGGATGAGCGTGGCGCTGGCGGACAGGTCTGCTGCATGCTCGGCCCGGGGAGGTTACCTCCTGGCCTGCCCAGCGCCAACAGCTGCCTTGAGGACCAGACAGTTCGTGCACAGAAAGGGTGCTCACTGCGTCCCCGGGAGTCTCCGCTCTGGGCCCCAGCCATGTCCTCTGTTCCCCCTGATCGTACGGTCTCCAAACTGCCTGTGATAGAAGAGGGATCCCAACGCAGGACTGACTTCTCAACTGTTCTAGGCCCCTTTTGAATTGGGGGACCCTCGGGCCGTCCCAGGAAGCAGGTCTATGTGTCCGTGGATCCACGTGGCTCTGGCCTTCCCAGTGCACAGGGGGCCCAGTGTCTGCCCCGCATGCGGAACTGCAGGCCAAACAGCGCCCAGCCCTGCCCCAGCCACTGGAGCTGTAGGCCATACCAGGGGCCCACGCCCCGGGCGGGCACAGGGCAGCCCTTGTCTGCGCAGTGCCTGGCACCCCCTCGTTTGCATAGCCACGTGAAGAATGCGAGGGAGCAGGCTGGGGACAAGTCCCTGCAGAGGGGGGCCGGGCTGTGGGGGAGGAAGCCTACGGGTGAGGGTGGGGGTCGGCAGCCAGACCCTGCTTTCCCCCAGTGCGGTCCAGGAAAGGCAGGTGGGCCACTGGGGATGGAGGGGGCAGCCAGGGGCTGGCCCGAGTAGGAGCAGGATTGTGACATTCCCCCTGCACCCACGCCCGGTGGAGCCCACGGGGCCAAACTGAACGTGAGGGGATTGCTAATGAGCTGGAGGAGAGTTAAATATTCCCCTGCTCCAGAGGGCTGAGCTGGGGTGGGAGAGAGAAGGGGGAGGCGGGGCACTAGGAGGGGCAGCCCGAACCCTAGGAATGTGCAGAGGCCACGGCTCCCAGCTCCTGGCTCCGGGTCAGGCTGTTCTGGAGCTGGGGGCCAGGGCCCGGTGCCTCCAGCCCCAGCAGGAGCTGCTAAGCCAGCCAGCAAGGGGATTAACGGGGCTGAACAGTCTGCCTTCCTTCGGGCTGATGCCAGGAGGTCAGTGCTATCTCCCACCTCCCTGGCCAGGCCCCTTGCTGGCTGGCAGCCAGGTCTGGCCCAGCCTTGAAGGGTCCTTCTTCTGCCCCCCTCAGATCTCAAACAGACCCCACAGTGCATATTCCCTGGCCTGGCCTCCCCTGCTTTTGATACATATGGCCCCCCAGAACCTGGGACTCTCTCTCCCCAACATCCAGCCCAGTCTCTCCACATCTGGCCTCAGAGCCCTCTCCAAAAAGTTCTCCCTGATGTCTAACTTTAGTCTTACCTGCTGCAAAGTAGAATTCCATTTCTTTTCTGTCCTACAGTCAGAGGACAGAAAACCCAAAGGGTCAGGTCAGCCATGCAATAGCAAAATCCATCATCTCGGGGCTGGCGCTTGGGCAGGCATTAGAATTGTAGGGCACTTGCATGGTTCCTAAAGGGGGTTCCCTGGCAGGAAGGCCCTGAGGGCAAGCAGGGTCACTCCTCCCAGCCCCTCCCCTCTCTATCCCTGGGAGGTGGGGCAAGGACACCCACCTGGGCCATGGCCCCGCCCCCCGCCCCCAGGGGGCTGGCAGGAGCTCTGCTGGAGACCCTGCCCTGGCTTAGGCGGCTGCTGTGGGCGGGCCCCTGGCCTTTCCAGCCCCTGGGCCTCCCCCTGCATTCTAGAGCCCAGAGCTGCTGCAGCCGCTGCTGAGGCTGCTGTGGGCCTGCCCCCTCTCCTTCTCAGCCTCTGGCCAGCGCTGCTCCCCCTCCCCCCCACCCAGCAGCTCCTCTCACCTGGCCATGACCCCAGCCCCCCCAGGGACCCTGGCCCAGCCCTGAGCCCTGGAACCTGCAGCCCCCTCCCCTGGGCCATGGCCAACTCAGGCCTCCAGCTCCTGGGCTACTTCCTGGCCCTCGGTGGCTGGGTGGGCATCATCGCCAGCACGGCCCTCCCGCAGTGGAAGCAGTCCTCCTACGCGGGCGACGCCATCATCACGGCCGTGGGCCTCTACGAAGGGCTCTGGATGTCCTGCGCCTCCCAGAGCACCGGGCAGGTGCAGTGCAAGCTCTATGACTCACTGCTCGCCCTGGAAGGTAGGCCTCCCTCTAGCTGGGTTGGGAAGGTGGGATGTGGGGGAAGGCAAGGTCCAGAGCAAGCTTGCCCACAGCCTGCGACCTGCGCTGGGCTCCATTCTCCAGCCCCCTGCCCGCGTGCGCTTTTGAAAATCCAGGCCCACCTGGTGCTCCGTGGAGGGCAGGGGCTCCAGGCAGGCTCCGGCAGCCATGGGTCCAGATCCCAGGTCTGCCACTGTCACCTTCAAGGAGTCGCTAACCCTCTCTGTGCTCTAATGTCCTCATCTGTAGAGGGGAGCACTAGGACTTTACAGGACTGTGGAGGGTTCGATGAGATAGATGAGTGCCTGGCCCTCAGGCTCCCCTCCACCTCCCCCCATACTCTGCAGCAAACACCCTGTGCATACACGCCTTCATGCCAGGCCTGCCGCCTAGACAAGCACGCCTCCGTTTGGGTGTTCCAATGCGCGCGCGCACACACACACACACACACGCCTGTGCACACAGGTGCTTGGGCACGTAGGTCCCTCTCCTCCTGGCGTGTGCATTTGAACTTGACAAGTTGGCTTGTAAATAGGCACCACCGCAGCTCCGTCCCCGGCTCAGGGCCAGCCCACCCAGCCTCTGCCCAGGGCAGCGCAGGCCTGAGCGGGGCAGCTGTCACACGGCCCTCCCCCACGACACCCGGCCAGGCGGGTCATCTGGTCTCCTTCAGCGACCCAGCTCCCCCGAGCTGCCCGCGGCCCAGGACTGACCGCACAGGTGTACAGCTGCCATGGGTGACTCAGAGGGCAGAGGGAAGGGGACCAGGAGCCAAAATGGCTGGTGGGGAAGGTGTCCCTGCCTGAAAGCCAACTTGGGGCTGAGCTGGATGGACCTCAGACACCCTCACTCCCTCCTGCTGAATCTGCAAGGCCCCGGGAGGAACTGAGCCCGCGGCTTGGGAGGGGTGGGCCGGACCCCAAAGGGAGTCCCACCGCCAGAGCGCAGCGGACGAGAGAAGTCCAACTACCCTGGCACCGCACACACCACCTGGAGGAACCTGCAGGGGGAGTGAACGGCGGGTGGTAGAGGTGAAGCTCAGCCCCACACCCTGTCCTCACTGTCCCCTCACACCTGCTGCAGGTGGCTGCCCAGGGGGAGCTTCCGGCCCCTGCCCCAACCCCTTCCCCGCCGCGCTCCTCACACCTGCCCACTTCTCCCAGAGCCTGCTCAGTGCCCCCTGCTCTGCCCAGGTCACATCCAGTCAGCGCGAGCCCTGATGGTGGTGGCCGTGCTCCTGGGCTTTGTGGCCATGGTCCTCAGTGTGGTCGGCATGAAGTGCACTCGGGTTGGAGACAGCAACCCCATCGCCAAGGACCGCATCGCCATCTCTGGGGGTGTCCTCTTCCTCCTGGCAGGTCAGTGTCCCTGGCTCCCTGTCTGCCATCTTGGTCATGGCAGGTGGCCCTGCTCTGGGTGGCCAGCCGGGGGCCAGAGTAGAGCTGAGCGCTCCCTCCTCTGTCCTTAGGCCTCTGCACGTTGACAGCCGTCTCGTGGTATGCCACCCTAGTGACCCAGGAATTCTTCAACCCCAGCACACCTGTCAATGCCAGGTGAGGGCCAGTGCATGGCTTGGACCAGGGAGCTGGGCCTCCCGCTCCGCTGCCTTTGTCCAGCAGGACACGTGGAAGAAGAAACGGGGTGGGGGGAGCCGCAGGTCCTGTCACGGCGAAGCTGTCTGGAGTGGGGGGCCAGGCAGGGTGTGGCTGAGCCCTCTGAAGGGGCCAGAGTCCTGTGGAGGACACCGCAGGAGCTCAGCAACCTGGATCCGGGTTGAAATCCCAGATCTGGGCGCGCTGGCTGTGTGAAGGGCGAGTTCCAGTCAGATGGAGCTGGGACCCAAGGACCCAGCTGACGTGGCTGTGAGGGCTCAGTGAGATGTTGCAGGGCGGGCTCAGCACAATGCCGGGGCCCCGGAGAGCACTCAATAAAGCCCTCGTTGTGACTCCTGCCCAAGGTGACAGGTGCATTGGGCTGGGAGATGTAGACTGGACAAGCGGTAAGGCAGATGTGGGGGGGCCTTACAGCCGGAGGGAAGATTTGGTTCCCCATCCTGGGGTGGAAGGCAGCCAACAATCCTTCTGGCTGTGGCATGCAGCATGGTGGGGAGAGGCTAAGACTGGTAAGGTGCAAAGGTCTGGAGCAGGGCTTGGGGCCCGAGGCTCGCAGTGCAGAGTAGGTTCAGAGATGTTTAGGAGCTAGAAGGGCCAGGACTAGGAAGGCCCAGGGTGTGAGGGCCGGATACGGGGCTCTGTGAAGAGCCTGGGCCCACCTGGCTCCACCCCGCCTCTCAGCTGTGCCCGAGCAGAGAATGGGACAGTCTCAACCCCAGACATCCCAACAGACCTTGGGCCCTGGGCTGGAGGGAGAATGAGAAAAGGTACCCAGGCTATCACAGTCAGGAGGGCCTGGAGAAGGCATAGGTGGGGCGGGGGAAGAAAAGGAGACCACAGGCACAGCGCTCGTCCCCTGGGGTCGGAGCTCTAGCCACGAAGATCAAGCAAGAGGCAGCTCAACTCAGAGACAGACGCCAGGCTGGCACTCCCTGTCCCTCCAACACTCCCCGAGGCAGCTGGTACACAGGCCGTGATGGGCCTGGGGGACACGGATGAATCCGGCGCTGTCCGCCCTCGGGGTGCTCCGCAGGGAGCCAGGCAAGCCAGGAGCTGAAGGCCACCCAGGAAGAGTCAGCAGGAGGCACAGCAGGAGGGGTCAGGGAAAGCCCCTGGGAGGAGGTGGCCCAAGTGGGCCCTGAAGGCAGAGGAGCAGAGGAAGCGCAGAAGGGGGGACGCTCCAGGAGGGGGCGCCTCCAGCAAAGGCACGGAATCGGGGAGCCCCTGGGCGCCGCAGAGCGGGAGTGGGGGGTGCGCAGGCTGGCGGCGGCCCCGAGGCGGGGAGTCAGGAGCGCCAGGTGGAGGGCCCGCTGTGCCCCCGAGGACCATGGGAAGCCCGGGCTGGGGGTTCCGGGCGCCGGAGGGGGACTGAGAGAAAGATGGCAGGGATCGCCCTGCTCCTCCCCACGGGACTCGGCGGCCCTCCCGCACCCCTGCCCCTGGCCGGAGCAGGAAAGGGGCCAGAGTGTGCGCGGAGCAGGCCCACCCTGGGCCTGGGTCCCCTTGGGTGGGGGTGATGTGCTGCGTGGAAGTCGGGAGGAGCGATGGGCCTGCAGCGGAACTTCTCCGCGAGACTGAGGAGGCTTGGGAGGCCCCCAGTCTCAGCTCCCCACCCCCTGCACGCCCCCCGCCCCCACGGGGGGCTCCCTGGGGGAGGGCAGGCTTGCAGTCGCACCTGAGGCTGTCCTCCCTGCCCCTTGCAGGTACGAGTTTGGCTCGGCCCTGTTCGTGGGCTGGACGTCCGCCGGCCTGGCCATGCTGGGGGGCTCCTTCCTCTGCTGCACGTGCCCGGAGCCTGAGAGATCCAACAGCAGCCCGCAGCCTTACCGGCCTGGCCCCTCGGCTGCCGCCCGAGAGTACGTCTGAGCCCGGGCTCCGCCGGCCCCTGCAGCACCCTGGGCAGGGCCAGGAGGGCGCCCCGCGAACTCCGTTAGGGCTCTGAGCAGCTTGTCCCCACACAGGCACCCACCCTGTGCTCTGAGACTCAGACCCAGACACTCAGAGGGAGGCCAGAGGCAGGCCCCAGCCCACAGGTGCACACGCCTGTCCCGCTGCAGGCGTGGACCCGTCTGCACAGCGCACAGGCACCAGCAAGTACGTTTGCCATCCAGGTGCCGGCGCTTCCCCGGGGTGGTTTTTTTACTCCCTGCAGGGCACACGAGTGTCTGCTCTGTGCTGGGCCCCGGGGACACAGCCACAAAGACAGCCCTTGGTGCCCCATGCCCTGGGGTGGCCAGAGCCTTTCCCGTCCCCAGGCTGGCAGGCTCCTCACAGCAACCCCATGCAGGGGGCAGGGCCAGGATGATGAATGTCCCCCTTACACACGAGGAAACAGGTTCAGGGACACCAAGAGGCTTGGCCCCACTGTTCCTGAGTTCAGGTCTCAGGCTCTTCCAGTACGCCCAGCACCCCGCGGACACCCCCACGCATGGCTCGGCCAGCACGCGGCCAGCCCGCCCCCAGGAGTGGGCCCCAGGGAGGGCTGCCGTGGGTGCCCAGGTCTGACTGCGCTGGTCAGGCCCTGCGTCTGGGCCCGCACCCCACAGCCCCTGCCCCACCCTGCTGCTCACCCCACTAACCAGCTCTCCTCTCTTTTGACTTTCAGACCAGTTGTTAAGTTGTCCGCCTCCGCCAAGGGCCCCCTGGGTGTGTAATGTCCAGGTCCCCAATCTGACTCTGTCCCCCCGGCCACACTTACGCTGTGTGTTTGGTATTGTTTGGAAAGAGAAGTGAACATCCAGCTCCAACTGTGGTGTCATTTGATGTGCCCCTGGCATGGCCACGGTGGGTCTTGGCTCGGAGAGGTCAGAGCTGGTCCCTGGGGTCTTTGGGCAGCAAGACGGGGAGACAGACCTGCAGGGTGGGTTACATGGCACATCCGGTGCCGATCGGGGCTCCAGTAACCTCCCTGGCCTGACACTTACCTCAGAGCTGGGGTGAGGGGACACTGGAGGAGCTCACTACATGGAGAGGGACCTTAGGGCCTTTCAGCCACGAAGACTATCCTGAGCAAGGTTGCAAGCCCCCTAATGCTGCCCCTTCTTCCACATCCGCCCCTCCTCCTCTCCAGTCTGCCAAGGTCCCCCTATATCCCCGCCCTGGATCCAGAGTAGAGAGGGGCGGCCTCAGGCAGAAGGGTGCGGTCCACGCTGGAGGGGCTTTTGGTCTTGAAGTATAGATACTACCTTAGTGTAGAAGGAGGAGACGTCCTCAGAGAGATATAGGGAAGATTAACCCAGATCAGCACCTCCACTCATGCTCAGGCCTCGCCAGCCCCAAACATCCTCCCTGGCCCCGAGTCTCTGGCCACTGGCTACCCTCTGCCTCCCATCTGGAAAGAGCTGACCATAACTGCCCCCTGCCTTCCTCATGCCCTCCTCAGCCAGCCCTGTCTGGCTTCCTCCAACACCTGCTGGTGACCACAGCTCTCACCAACTCACTGAATCCCAAGGAGGTAGCTGGGCCTTCTCCCCTGAGCGTGGCTCGAGGGAGGTGAGGTCAGACAGGGTGACTGTCATGCACGCTCGGAGGTCAGGGATGGGAGGAGAGGAGCGAGTGGTGGAGCGGCTGTGGGACTATGGGCTCAGGGCCCCGGCCTGGCCGCGGCCGCACGTCCACGGGGCGCCTCAGGAGTGGCCGTTTCCTGTGGCCTGGCCAGCCCCTGGCTCCGGGGGTGGGCACCTGACCCCACGTGGGTTTACCAGAGTCTTGCCCCTCAAGTTATGAGTGAGGACTACAGAGAGTCTCTCTGCGTGCCAGAAGCTATAATGCGGGGAGCTGGTGCCCAGGCTCCACATCCTGCCGGAACTGGCCTGGGGTGGGCCCGGCGTTGAGCTCAGGCACCTCCTGAGGGACTGCGATGTGTGGGCGCCTCTGTGAGGCCTACGGCTCGGGGCCGTCGGGGCCACATTTCTTGCCACTCTGCGGGCCTCTGGGAGGGAGAAAGGCACCTTGGTGAAGAGGCGAGCAGAGGAAAGATGACAGGAAGGCCTGTCTCCGTCTGCCTTTCCTGAGACCAGGCTGCTCCGTGAGGTTCCCACATCCTCCCAATACATATCCACCTTTTTTGCTGAAACAATTTTGAGTTTGACTTCGGTCTCATACAACCAAAAGAGCCCTGACTGACACCACCAAATCTGGAACCTGGAAATTGAGAGTCTGGGCGAGGGCTCCTGTCACGGGCACCAGCTGAGCAGGCGGGGATGTGGGGCCCAGAGGCTCGACCTCTGCGGGTCCTCCAGCACCTCCCTCCCGTCCCCAGCTGGGGATTTGGCAGCCCTTGCAGTCTGGTCACAAAGCGGTTGGCCAGGACACCGTGTGTATTCTCTTGAGGTTCAGGGTCCACCAGAGGCTTGGGACTTGGTAGGAAAACATGGGGATAGAATGTGCTGGCTGCTCCCCGTGAGTTTCGGGGACAGCGGTGGCTCTGACAGCCACAGGAACAAGCTTCCCGCTGGTCCTTCGTGGAGGGATGCCCTTTCTGCCTCGAACCCGGGACTGGAGAGGTGCAGAGTCAGGCGAGCGCGTGTCGCCCCGGGATACGCTAACAGCACAGTGGGCAGCAGGCCATGGGAAGATGTCCGGGGGAAACTAGAGGAGTTCAAGGCTGCAGGGGTTCCGGAAGCCTGATCCTCCACGCCTCTCGAGGCAGCTGTTTTCAAATGTCCACATCAAGGTCACCTGGGCTGCCAGTGTGCGGCAGGGCCACCTTCCCAGGCCTCCTGACTGCACGGCTGTTTACTGCCCCAGCCGCGGGCCTAGAGGACTGGGCAGAGACCCAGCAAGGGGGTCAAAGGGCACGATCCTCAAGCTTTTGCTGATGTTTATTAACAAAGTTCTCCCAAGAATAAAACTGGCAGCCCATAAAAATACAGTTTGGGGAGGAAAATGCCTGTGTTCTCAGCCAGTGACGAGAAGCATAGCATAGAGTAGCAATACATACAGAAGGTGCACAGCAACAGAAGGTGCTCAGCCCAGGGAGTGAGCCTGGGGCCGTGGAGGAGGCGACCAGGGGACCCACCCAATGCCTGCCTCGGAGAATACGGATGTGCACTGAGTAGTACATGGTGTCCAGGAGTGATGCTTTTGTGTTGTCTGTATGTATTGTTAATTCTGTGTGATAATGACACCGTGGTTTGTTTGGGTTTTTTTTTTTTAATCCCTATCTGTTAAGAGGTGCACCCTGAAATGATAGAAGGCTGGATTTGCTTTAAAATGCTCTAAGAACAAAACGGTCAGGGGCAAGGGAAGTTTGGTAAATGCCAGTGATATTTAGGGGTTCACTCTGTTCTCTTCGTTTGTGTGTAGGTTTGCAAATGAAAAAAATAAAAAGTTAAAAATGCCTGTAAGTTTTGCAATGTAGCCACCCCTCACTGACCACTGAGACAGAGGTGATGAGCGCTCTAGAGACTCCTGCTACCTGGAAACTTGGTAGAAACACAGACTCTCAGGCTCCAACCCACACCAGGTAACAGGCTCGGCATTTTAAGGAGCTCTCCAGGTGACTGGAGCACACACGAGTTTGGGAAACGCTGATCTAGGCTAGGGAGGGAAGAGCTGTGTGGTGCGTTGTCTTCCTCCATCATCTGAATACCAGATGCAATGAAAGCAGCTCAAGGTATGATTTCGTCTAGAGTTGGCAAGATTATAGGGGGCCACGGCTAAACCTGATCCAGGCAAAACTGGAAATGAAGACAATGCCCAAAGCAGTCCTTCCCGACTTTCTCTCCTCATAGAGCACATAAAAATAATATTTGGCTCAATTTATGAGCACATTACAGGCAATTTTATTCTTGACAATGCTCCTGTTCAAAACAACTAAAAATGTTGGGGAAAGGGCGAAGAATTCTTTACAGGGCATCAAGGGAAAGGGCTGACATGATGCTATGGACTCTCCAAGTCAACACTCAAGAAGCACTCCCTTTCATCCACATGGAGGCCCACGTGGTGACCACAAAACTGAGTCGTCCATGGCTGCCAGGATCAAAGTTGAGTTACATATAAGGGGATTGAACAAATAAGTAAAATATCAAAGATACTGGGAGCCAGGCTTTCCACTGCCAGAGGATAGATTTACAAAGATGAAATGGAGAAGATTCAAATAAATCCTGTGGTGTTGGATTGGAATTATAGGTATGTGGATGAACACCTGGCTTTTAATATATTTAGATGAATACTGAAGTAACTATAGTTGTGTATGTGTACGTACGTGTGTGATATACATACATCCATATATGTAGGAGTTCTACCTCCTAGAAAAGCCTAGAAGCAATGATAACCCAGTGGCAAGAAGATACCTTGATTTCTGAATACCATTTTCCATTAACAGGTACCAGGGCTCTGTGGAGAAATGGCTGATCTGAGGGCTGGGGTAAGGAAATAATAAGCCTGGAGCATCCTGATATTCCAGAAAGTAAGAAAGTGCTCGAGGAATAATGGAGACACATCTAAAGGATACAGAAACCAGATTAAAGAGATTCCCATTTGCTTTATCTGGGACAATTTGAGTATCAAAATAAATAATGATAGTAATGGATTCTAATTCAGTGAATAAAAATAAGAATCTGTTAGTCCCTACTGATACAAAAATTAAATAGATGGGGGAGAAAAAAAGCTCTACAGTAAAATGGCAACTAATATAATTTATTAACTAGTAAGTATAAAATATTTAACTTGACAGTGGTGAAACATTGCAGACATATCTTAATCAAGTGACAAAAGTTAACACCATCAGCATCAGGGCAAGTCAAAATTGTGTGTCCCTTGATATAATGCACTGAAAAGAACACAGCATCATTTCTGCGACATTCCTGCTAAAGATGTACAAACTGAAATGCCTTATGACAAGACAAAAAAATCCAAATGGAGGTTATTCTACAAAGTAACTGCCTGCACTCTTCAAAACTGTCCACATTACGAAAGACAAGAAAAGACTGACAAGATTGAAGAGATATTATAGCTAAATGCCATGAGTGATCCTTGATTGGATCCTGGACCTATAAAAGACGTTCTTGGGACAACCAGTGACAATTGAATAGTGTCTATGGTTTAGATGGGCAGTACCACTTCAAAGTTAATTTCCTGAATTTGATAGTTTCCTGTAGTCTTGTAGGACAGTGTCCTTATATTTCAGGAAATACACACTGAAGTACTAAGAGGGTAATGAGGCATCAGAAAAAAATATGCATAGATAAAATGAAGAGTTACAAGGCAAATATCTGCAGTATAATATTAATTGGACAAAAAATATATATATATTTATCAGGCAACCTAAGTGAAGGGCAGACTGGAGTTCTTTGAACCATGCTTGCAACTTTTCTCTGAAGTTTGAAATTATTTCAAGATAGAGGGGTTTTTTGTTGTTGTTTTTTAAAGTCTAAGTGAAAGCTAGAACACTGAGACACTGATTTTCTCAGAAGGCACTTGAAACCCCAGCCAAACATAGATGCAGATGCCTCCCAATATGGCAGTGGAGAGAAAGCTTTGGACTCATCTTTGGTGAACCCAAGCAGAATTCTTTGTTTCACCATCATTTTTAAAAGATGCTTTTGCTGGGTATAGAATTCTGGGTTGACTCTCATCCTTTCAGTACGTTATAGATATCATCCCGGTGTCTTCTAGCTTACATAATAATTTAAACAAAAAGCCTGCTTAACTCTTTTTGTTGTTGTTGTTGTTCCTTTGTTTTCTCTCAGTTGTTTTCCAGATTTTCTCCATCTTTGGTTTTCAGAAGTTTGAATATGAAGTGCCTGGGTATGTTTTTTTTTTCTTCTTTTCTTTCTGTGTGTTTATTTTCCTTGGGGGTGTTCTGAACTTCCTGGATCTGTGGTTTGTTATCTTATATTGATTTTGGAAAAATTTTAGCTGTTATTTTTTTCAAATGCTTCTT